AAGGGGGACAACTCATATCAAGTTATACTTATAAAACCCAGGTTGTTTGTTTGTGTGTGTGTGTGTGTGTGTGTGTGTGTGTGTGTGTGTGTGTGTGTTCATTTATATATGGGATCGGATTTCCTACATTTTTCAACCGATTTCAACAAAACTTCACTTTTTTTGGCAGGTAGTGTTTCTTATTGTCTTGCACACTTTTTTCTTTATTTTTACATTCAGAATGCTTTAAAAATTCCATTTACAAGACAATTGCTTATAATAAAATTCTATTCAATCGATAGACTCATAATGTTTTTGTTTGAGTTTAGGTTTGACCAATTCGTAAAAAAAAAAAACTAATTATGACATGCGTGTGCGTCAACCTTAAACAATAATCTTTGTAAATTTTATTTTTCAGTCTTTATGATGGTCGATACTTGATCTATCTCTTACTGTTACATCCCCGGGCAATGCCGGGCTCTACTGCTAGTATTTACTAAAATTACAAAAAAAAAATCTTGAAATACTAAAGAGTAAATTTATTCAATAAAATCGCCTTTGGCTTCAACCACAGCCTCCAGACGACTTCGGAATCTCTAGCAACTCTTCTGGATGCTCTCCTTGTTTAAGTTGGTGAATGCTGACATAATCCTTGCCTTCAGTTCATCTTTGGTACTACAATCAGTTTTATTGGTCTCTCGTTCAACTGCACCCCACACCTAATAATCAAGGGGGTTGCAGTCTGGGGAGTTAGGTGGTCAGATGTAAAGGGGTGATGTAGCTGCATAGTTTGTCTGACAGACATGACTGTGTTCTCCTGTTTATATCGCATGGTGCAGAGTCCTGTTGCCAGACATAGGGTCTTCCAGCAGTCACCTTCTTGACCCAGGGAAGTACTACCTCCAGAAGACACTTGTGTTGAGTCTGAAGCCCCATGGGAAGATGAATGGTGGCATAACGTCGCCATCACGAGTGATCGCTCCAAACACCTTCGTAATCACCATTAGGCTGATCCAACTCATTCCGAATCCTCTTCACTGACCTCAGATTAATACGCAAACACTCTTAAATATTCGTATTGGAACTTCCGGTGCGAATACCAAGTAGTAAAGTACGCTGTTTCCAAATTTCTGACAGAGTGAATTGCGTCATTGTATTTAATATCCCACTCACGAGGAATATATGTGGCACAAGGCCGAGATTAAAGTGGGTTTCTCCGAGCCCGTAGACTCGGCCAAAAATATAGCCTTTGAACCCGCCTAGACGGGTTCAGGGCCTGTCTACCTCCCCGGACGAAACCCTGCCCTTCGGCAAAGCTTCGTCCGGGTTCCTCTCTGCCAAAGCAGAGAGTTCAACAGTGAATTGCGTCATGCTGCTCTTTTTCTCACAGATGGTGCCCAACTGACCCAACTATACTGTGCAGTCAACAAATCAAAAACTAACAAGGCGTATGCCCAAAATGAAAAATATAAAATGGCGACAATTTACGCATTGCACCCTATATAGAGTTTAGTTACATCCGCAGTATATATGACGCGTTCAACGGAAGAGGAATGTATTCAGTATTTGATAATTTTGCGGAAATCCATGCTTAAAGGTTTTAGGCAGTTTTGATCAGCATTTCCTTTCATGGTTAGCAGTAAGGAATTGTAAATGCAGGACTACCTTACACTTAAGTAAAATAATAACAATAATATTTGTTACAGGAAATATCAAGTTTTACGGAAACATAGTTACATAACAAGTAAATAAAGATAATATAAATTTTAATGCTATGTTGGATATGTTGTTAGGTATTTTTCATCTTTTTCTTTGTTATTGGCAGCATATTAGAATACTTTGGCTGCAAGGCTAAGTTGCCTGAGTTGAATAAACTGGAGCTATTTCGTTTAAATTTTGTTACCATTGTTGTTTTTAGATCGCATTCTTCCACTCCTTTTGATGTGCAAAAGCGAAATTCTGAAAATTAAAATGATCTTATTCCATTTAAAAAAAAAAGTCTGTAAAAAGGAATATTTTAAATTAACATACGACCAAAAATAAAATGCTTTTGACAAAAAACCTTAATGATTTCAGTATAATTATGTAATAATAAATAAATGATATTTCACAAACATAACTAGTGCTATGTTACCTCATCTCATTGTATCGTTACGAACTATAAACCTAAACTGAGCTTGAAATATTGTTAATCGGTTTTTTTGTTTTTTTTTGTAAAATACTTGAAGATAATAATGAATAATTTGCAATAAAAAAAGCAATTTTCGATTTTTTCTTGTATACATCCCTCCTCCGCCGAACGCGTAATATATATATATATATATATATATATATATATATAAGTAGAGCAAATCGATCCGCGCAGGTGAAATCAAGGTAGGTTTACTTGGCTCTTTATGTTCATAGTTTAGATTTGCTCTACTTAGTGTATTGATTTTTACTTAGTTACTTTTGCTTTACTCGTTTTGGGGGTTTTTTTTGGGGGTAACTCTGAGCTTGGATTCTGGACGATTGTTTTCGCCTCAATTACATGTTCTTAGTTCTTTTTATCCTTTATTTTTCCTTGGGCATTGGTTTGTTCATTTACAAGCCAAAACAACTAAGTTTTTCCAGGCGAGTATAACTATATATATATATATATATATATATATATATATATATATCATATACACACCTGGTCAAAATTTTAAGACTAGTTACAAAAAGGGTTAAAAAAATATAAAATACTGTTAATCAAAATATATTTCCGAAAAATTAACATTTAATTAGAAAATATACTTTATCAGCAAACAAGTGAAAATTTGAAGCTTTTAATTGATTAATTTAAACAAACATTGAAAAAAGGATTTTTTGGTTAGTCATAAAGATAGGACCCTGTGTGAAAAAAACAAATTACTGGACAAAAATTTTAGAACTAGTCAGTGTGCTCATAGCTTCAGGCGTGTAGACATCTACGTTGCTCATTTTTAGTATTAAATTTCAGATTTTAAAATGGCTATGGTTAAAATGTTAACAACGTTCGAACAGAGCAGGATTGTTGAACTTCAAAGACGTGGTCTTTCGCAACGAGCCATTGCAAATGAAATTGGTCGTAGCAGAACTGTCATTGCTAACTTACTTAGAAATCCGAATGTGTATGCTTCTAAAAAAATCAAGCGGTCGCCCCAATAAAATCTCACCATTTATAGACAGACGCATTAGGCGAGAAGTTAAGAGATATTCAAGCCTGACATCAAAACAGATAAAAGCGAATGCAGGTGCTGAATGCTGCTCTCGAACAATTCGACGGCATTTAAATAAGAAAGGGTTTAAACTTGAAACGGCTGCAGAGGCCTCGCCTTCTTCTTCACCATAAAACCTCCCGTTTACAATTTGCTTCCGATTATCAAACTTGGGATGTGAATAAATGGGAGAAATTGTTGTTTTCAGACGAGAAAAATTTAGTCTTGATAGCCCAGACGGTTTTCAGCGTTACTGGGATGCAAATGAGTCCCAAAATAAATTTTCTCAAAGCGACACAGTGGAGGTGGATCAATTATGGTCTGGGGTTCATTTTCGTACAATGGAACTCTTGAGTTACAGGAGGTAAAAAGTCGTCAAAAAACTGCTAGTTACATTGACATGTTAAGTAAGAAAGACATCGCTAATTACTGAAGGCCCCCATCTATGTGGAGAAAAGTGGATTTTCTAGCAGGACAAGGCTGCAATCCACAACGCTCTCCAGATCGAAACCCAATCGAGAATGATTAGGGGTGGATAGAAAAGGATGTTTATAAACATGGATCGCAATTTGAAACTGTGGATGCTCTTCTTGCTGCAGTTTGGGCGAGCATCCCAAGCACCCTCATGCAGAAGTTAATAATGATTTTGACAAAGCGAATTTTCGAAGTAATTCGCAAAAATGGAGGATATGCTGAGAATTAATTTGTCGTTGTGAGTCATTTGTTGTGTATTTGCTATTTTTACTTACATGGTCTTATTTTTATGACCAACCAAAAAAAAATCATTTTTTCAATGTTTGTTTAAATTAATCAATTAAAAGTTTAAAATGTTCACTTGTTTGTTGATAAACTACATTTTCTAATTAAATGTAAATGTTTCGCAAATATATTTCGATTAAAGTAACAGTATTTTTTTTTTTAACCTTTTGTATCTGGTCTTAAGATTTTGATCAGGAGTGCATAATGTTTGATAATATACAGTATATATAAGATTTCGTAATATCCACAGTATATATGAGCATATATAGCTTTTGATAATATATAGATAGATAGATAGATAAACCTATGGGTAGGTTTGTCTGGCTCACTAGGTTTATCTAAGTGTTCTCTACGGTTGTATTGAGCTCTTTTAGTTAGTTGTTTACTCGTGTCGGGTTTTTTTTCTTTGGGCTTTAAACCTGCATCTGTGCGATTTTTTTTCGACAGACTTTCATGTTTCTAGCTCTTTCTTTTTTTAAAACCTTGTTTTTCCCTCGGGATTGATTTGATTATTGGCAAATCAAAAATTCGAAGGTATTTCGAGACTAGTATAGTTACCTATATTTATATATATATATATATAGATAGATAGATGTGATAATATATGCAGCCTATATAGCAGATATAGACTTAGATAATATATTGTATATGTAGGGTTTGGTAATATCCGTACTTTCAAGGATTTGCTGGAATTTTTGTAACAGATCCTCCACAGATAGATGTGTGGGCAGTCTAACAGATATCATTTAGCGAGATTGGCATGTCGGTTCAAATTATTGACTAGTCTGTTGCGTTGTCTTTTACACAAATGTCCTTGAAAAAGGCATGAATCTGTCTTTTCCCCCCAGCTATGTGTTAAATAGCAGATCAGACTAGGTTCTCTAGCCTCAGTTAGCAGCGAGTCTAGGAGAAGAATAACTTTGAATTCAAAACTGGTTTGGCGTGAGATTGGCAGCTGAACCATGAAAAAAGCATTCTAGCTATTGAAACCACAACAGGAACACCAGCGTAGTGAGCCTGTGGTCCTGTACTCCATGTGAAATGAGAAGGACTCTCTTTCTCCCTTCTTTTCTCTCTCTCTTTTACTCTCTCTCTCTCTTTATCTCCCTTTTTTTCTCTCTCTCTTTATCTCCCTTTTCTCTCTCATTCTCATTTTCTCTCTCTCTCTCTTTCCCCCAAGCTGATAAGTGTATCTACATTACCAGAAATGTTAATGTCTGTCGTCAATATAAATATAATAAAATCTACGATGTCTCTGCTACACAAATATAAATATGTTCTTCGACACTTTGCTTCGTGTTTATGTTCGTACAGTTAATGCCATGTAAGGACCGCGATCCTTCGTTTGTATAAATTTCAACGTGTCACGCGAAGGCTAAAAAGAAAAAAAATAAGGCGGGATGGGTACGAGAGTCATTAATTTCGAATTCAGCCAATCACGGAACTCCAATTATAGACATTGAGACGTTCGGCTCCTCGCCGTTTCACAGTTTACATTACACCTGCTATCACCAGTCTTCTCCCAAACACACCCTGATTCCGTAACACCCCCGTCCACCCAACATTTCTACCTGATTTTCTTAGTTCCCTCGCCAACTAACTTTACCTGAGACTTAATCATACCTGTACAACTCTATGCAATGACTTTGCCTTTTCCCCCGTACACGTCTTAACTGAAGTGGAGATGCGGATAGTGTAACGGCTATCGTGAGCGGAAAGTGAAATCGACCGTCCGAGTTCAAATTCCGGGCCAATCTGTTGCGCTCACTTTCGCACGAAAGCCTTCAAAAAGACATGAATCCATGTCTTCTCCCCTAGCTATCGGTTAAATAGTAGAGCAGACTGTGCTCTCTCGCGTTGATTGGCAACCATTGCTAGAGAAGGAAAAAAGAAGATTTATAGATTGGTTTTAATTTTGCATGCATAGGTTGTTTACATCAAAGATAAAATTAATCCTGTATTCGACAAACAATCTTTATTACAGAAAATTTTAAATTTATTCGAACAACTGTTCTCATATTCATTATTTTAGATGTTATTATAGACTCAATGTTTTGGTCAAGTACCCTATGGCCATCTTCATCTATTGTTCTCATCTTCATTATTATAAATGTTATTATAGACACAGTTTCGGCCAAATAACCTTTGGTCATCTTCAGGTATTTATCTATTGTTCGCATCTTCATTATTATAGATGTTATTATAGACACAGAGTTTCGATCAAGTACCTCCTGGCTATCTTCAGCTATCTATCTATTGTTCTCATCTTGATTATTATAGATGTAATTATAGACGTACCTTTTGGCTATCTTCAGGTGTCCATTTATTGTTTTCATCTTGATTATTATAGATGTAATTTTAGACACAACTTCTCGGGCTAGTACCTTCTGGCCATCTTCATGTATCTATTTAATATTCTCATCTTCATTATTATAGTATTATTATAGAGTCAACGTTTAGGCCCTCATCTATTGCTCTAATCTTGATTATTAGAGTTGTTATTATAGGCAAAAAGTTCATATAGATACATTTAATACAAAATTATCAAAAATGGTACGGACCCATCATGATAATCAAATGTCAAAATCATTTAACATTGAAAATAAAGGCTCCAAAAATACACCACTGATGTTCATCGTAGTAGATGCAGGAGTTATTTATACATGTTTTACTTTCTCCTTGAGTTGAATCACTAAATATATATCGGCATGAAAGAGACAAAATAAGGCAGTAATCAACAGATATCAGCTAAAAATAATAGATAGCTGGAAATTATTAGAGAGTTCTTGGCCGAAAAGGTTGTACCTATAATAAAATCTATAATATTCAAGACGAGAATAATAATTGGAATAGGGTACACTTATCTGCTTGGGGGAAAGAGAAGGGGAGCGAATGAGAAAGAGAGAGAAAAAGAGAACGAGAAAAGAAGAGAGAAAAGAGTCCTTCTAACTCGACATGCAGATTTTATTAATTACAGTGTATTCTTATAATTGTCCTACTTTGTTGTTAGTCATTGTATCTAATTCTACATTAATGTTGGTGGGTATGTATATCAGGGCAGGCTGATTTTTTACTTTTTAAAAAAAGAATCAAGATTGCACTCTACGTAAAAGCTGGGGTTTAATGTGATAAAGAGTGACACCAAAAATTAAGTTCACAGCTTTAACCAATTTTTGAGCATTTAGTTTTAAAGACCGGCTAAAAAATGTACAGAAATACTTAATTTCTGCAGGTTTTTGCTTACAAACTGGCTTCAAATTTTACTATTTCAAGAATAAATCCAAAAAATTCAATGTCTTTTGTATTAGATACATTAAATGGAAGATATATTCAAATCAGAATTCTAATTACGAATCACAACAAACAAGATATGCAATTTTTGCAACTGCATTCGATAAGTAAAAACTGTAAAAAAATTGTAAAAGATTATAAAAACGTCTACTCAATGAATAAGATTTGTTAAATTATTTGACCATAATTAATGAAAATAAAAAATACATAAAAGTGTATATAATACTGCAATAATAATATTGAAATGATT